CATCCTATATTGGTTGATTCTTGGTTCTGCCCATACTCATTGGAGTATGTAACAGAGAGAGAGAGAGAGAGAGAGAGAGAGAGAGAGAGAGAGAGCAGGGGACTACTTTTACTCTTTGGCTGTATTGACAGAATCAAATCAGCTGTCGTGTGGGTTGATGGGTTGTCTGTGGTGACGAAACATGTGTCATTCTACCATGTGCATTCAGTTGTTCTCTTTAGCAGGGGATGGCACTGGAGTTAGTGAGCTGAGTCTTGGGTAGCAGACTATGCTTGCCTTGATGTTCCATTCATGATTTCTGAGTCTTTTTGTGGTATTTGCCCTGTGTTTCTGCAGGAAGATCTGCCTGCTGGTGGCAACCTCGCTAGTTGTTGGTATCGTGGCAGCTGGAGCAGGTACTTATCATGATCGTGACTGGTTTGGGCATTGCAGCATACCTATGTGCCCAGTGTATGAATATTGTATGTTGCTAGAGATGTACGTGTTGCACCGCACATCTGTTCAGCGTTTGCACCCACAGGAGGTACATCCTCATCTTGACAGGTGAGTTGAGTGTTTCCTTTGGTGTCAATACGGACCACAGCCTTTGCACTACCAGCCCACAAAAAAAAACAACAACTTGTAGACTGAGAATCCGTGCAATGGAAATCACTATTCGGAGCTTGGTTTCAATCTGCATTGTTCAACTTGTAATCGCGAATGCCCCTGGTCGCCCGTTTGATTATAACAACAACATGAGCAACAGATTGCCTTTCTTCCCATCTGGTTTTGCAAGGAACCTGCAATCTCAGTATGTCGGCACCGTAGGGTCAAAGGGCCCAACAAGGGGTCCCGTAGTTGGTCAATCGGGTCCGAGTAGCATTGTGGTGGCATAGGGTCCAGTGCACTAGGTGGGATCAGTTCAGTCCAGTCCGCTCGATCCCATGGAAAATAGGGTTTGGTTACTAGGTAGACTAGCTGGATCCAGTTTAATCTAGTCCACTGAAGGCAAGTCAGTCTGAAGCCCAAGGGTCCCATGCAGGCTGACAAATTTTCCAGAAACGTCAAAGGCTGAGAGGCCCAAGCCAGTAAAGTACCAGGTCAACCGGGTCGTTATATCCAAGGGTTGGAAGCTTTATTTTCATGTTTAAAAAGCACAACGCTTGTTGCCGCGAATTATTTATTTTCTGCTCATGCTTGTGTGGAAAGTAACGAGTGATGCAGACAGTGAGAGAGAGGGACTATGCAGTTCGTAGCCAACAAGGACTGGTCATTATAGGTGTAGAGGTGTACCATAGATAGGCGCGCGCATGCGCCTGAGAGAGAGAGAGAGAGAGAGAGAGAGAGAGAGAGAGAGAGAGAGAGAGAGAGAGAGAGAGA